TGTGTGTGTGTGTGTGTGTGTGTGTGTGTGTGTGTGTGTGTGGAGAGAGAGGGAGAGAGAGAGAGCAGCAGCAGTCAGCTCCTCTCCCCACCAGAGTCTAAGGGAGGCTGAAGGTCAACAGACGATCATGCTATGCTRCTAATAAGTGTTCCACCCTCTGACGGCTGCAGGGGCGTGTCTTAGAGAGAGGCTTTTATACCAGAACACAGCCRCTGTGACGAAACCTTGGAGAAGACATGTCACCGTGGAGAGCCGTTAACCAATATGCAAATTGGCCCACAGTACCACTGCTCTACCCATAGGAGCAGCAAAAACACGTTTTAGACCAAATATTACAGGTTTGAACAAATACGCACAAAGACATCAACATTAGCACAGAAACAGTACTATATAACATTTTAGACACATTATAGGCAGTTTATCAGCTAAAAAAAGTTAATTTTGGGGTAAGTTACTCTTTAAACTGTAGGTTCTGTTCTGCAAATTATAGATTTAAGCTGTTTTGCTAATATTTTAAGATGCCATTTGGTCTGAACTCCAGTTTTGCTTTGAGCTATTATTATAGCTATTGTGTTTGTTTTTTGTTTGTTTGTTCGTTTGTTTTTAGCAACAATTTAGCTAATTTCTGCTTGTACGTATCATTTTGTTAGGTGCAGTTTTGTTACTATAAGATCTTAGCTTTGGTTTTATTAAATTTTGCTTTTAGCTAATGTTTTGCTGATTTGTGCTTTGCAGCCATTGGGCCTCATGCAAGAACATGTTCGTATTCTTATCCTAAATTTCTCTTACCTTTGTTCGTACAAAGGGTTCGTACAAACATGCCACGTCAGATTCAACAAACTCTTCTATCTTCCTGAAAAGTGTGTAAATGAGCTGAGTAAATTCCACCTGTTCGTATCCAGCTGCTCGTGCACGCRAGAGGAGATTAGCATAATTACCACCCCAAAAACACCATATAAGGCTATGTTTCCTGCCTCAGGTACAAGGAAGTGCCCATTCATGAAAATGGCAGTGAAAATTAAAAAGGAGAACTTTACGAGTTCAGAGATTGAAGTCCTGCTGTCAGAGATCCAGAAAATAAAATCTGTCATTTTTAGCAG